GCATAGTGATGTCACTTTGGTCCTCTTTGAGAACGAAGGACAACAACCAACCAACCAATCAGCATCTCCTCCGTAGGTAGTACCCATTCATTCATTCATTCAACAAATAGTTATTAAGTAACTACTGTGAGTAGGGTAGCATGCTAGGCACTGGGGGAGATACAAGAAAAAATAATTTAAGATTTACAAAAAACTTTATATACACTACTTCATTTGAGTCAAATAGTTCCTGCCCTCCCAGGTTTGCCGTGAGGATAAAATGAGATAATTGTAAAGCACTCAGCACAATTCCTGGCACATAGTGCAATACAAATGTTAGTTATTGTTATTTTTTTCAAAAGGTAGAAGATATGTTAGGAGATTACTGCAACTGTCTATACAGGTGGTAATGAAGACTTGTACTAAGGTAGTGGCAATGGGAATAGAGAAAGGGACAGAGCTACACGTTATAGACTTGGTCTTTTTAGAGCTGCAAGGTTCCAGAGGATAAGGTTGGCTTTAATGTCTCTGAATTCAATTCAACAATTATTTATTAAACTCCAAATAATAAAAGCTGAAATTTATACAGTGCTTTATGGCTTACAAAACATTTCAAATATATTTTTTTGATCTCTGCAACTTCTCTGTAAGGTAGATACTATATCCTGATTTTACAAATGAGGAAACACAAGGTAAGTGAGAGATTAACATACTTTTCCCTTCTCCTTACCTTTTCCATGACAACACAGCTAGCAACATTCCTACTCTGCGCCAAGGACAGGGTATATAAAGACAAAAATCAAACGCTATTTGAGGAGCTTATATTACAGTTGGAAGGTTATAACATGTACAAAGTAAATATAACACAAAAAAATATCAGCAACTGAGGGCACCAGGGAAGGCTGGCCCCTAAGCTGAGCTTGGAGGAAAAGCCGCAGAATTTCAGAGCCGGCACCTCAGCGGCCATCCGGTCCAACTAATACCCGAAAATGAAAACCCCACTAGAAGTGGTCAACCAGTCTCTGCCTGAAAACTTCCAATGAAGTAGAACCTAGCACCTCCTGGGGCAGCTCATTTTACTTGGAGACAGTTCTAATTATTAGGAAGCTTTTCCTGACATCAAGCCTAAATTTGTCCCTTTGCAATTTCCACCCACTGTTCTTGGTTCTGACCTTTGCCTACAATAGGTCATCAGACACTTGAAAACTCATCTCCTCTTCTTTCTTTCTCTCTCTTTTTTTTGGGGGGTGAGGCAATTGGGGTTAAGTGACTTGTCCAGGGTCACAGAGCTAGTAAGAATTTGAACTCAGGTCCTCCTGACTCCATGGCCAGAGCTCTATCCACTGAGCCACCCAGCTGCCCCCGAGTCTCCTCTTCTCTATGATAAATACCCTCAGGTCCTTCAGTCAATTCTTATATGATATGGATGGACTCAAGGCCTTTCATCATCTTGTTTATCCTTCCTGAATTCTCTCCAGATTATTAATCTTAAATTCAGGTACCTAGAACTTTTCATGAAAACAATAGTCCAGATGTGGTGTGACCAAGATAAAGGAACTATTCTCTCTTTTGACTCTTAAAATCTAAGCCAAGACGGCATTAGCTGTTTTGGCTGCCACATCACATTACTAACCCATAAAGCATGCAATCACTAAAAGCCCCAGGTGTTATTCAGACAAACTGTGGTCTACCCATGCCTCCACTTAAGATTTTGTGAAAGACCGAAGCTTTATGTTTATTACTAATGAATTTAATCCTTTTCCACTTATTCCACTGCTTCAGCCTATGAGTATCCCCCTTTTTTTTAAACAATTTTTTTTTTTTGGCTGCAGCAATCGGGGTTAAGTGACTTGCCCAGGGTCACACAGCTAGTAAGTATCATGTGTCTAAGGACAGATTTGAACTCGGGTCCTCCTGACTCCAAGGCCGGAGCTCTATCCACTGTGCAACCTAGCTGCCTCTTCTCATGTGTTTTTTTTTTAAACTTTAGCATTAGGGATTCAAAGAGAGGCAATGGGCAGTCCCTGCCCTCTAGGAACTCATAGTCTAAATGGAGAGATAAGGACACATATCAGAAGGAAATTAAGACTTACATTCATCTGCATATAGCAACAACTACTATCAAATCAACTACGGTCATAATTATTATTTTATTGTCCAGGTTACCCTATGTGATTGCTCCCAGCCTTGTGTCACCTGCAATTTATCCAATCTATGACTTTATCCAAGATACTGTTAAAAATATTGAAGTACAGGGCTAATCAAATATCCTTGGGGCAATCCACTAGAAATCCCTGACAAACTGACATAGAACAATTAAATGGCAACTCCTTCAGTTAGTCATTCAAGTAATTCCAAAACTACCTAATTGTATTGTCATTTGGCCCACATCTCTCCATCTTTTCCATAAGACTAGTATGAGATACTTCTAATGCTTTGTTAAAATCTAGATGAACTGTATCTATAGCATTCTTCTGATCTACTAGCATAGAATAAAGTGTCCACTTGGCATGACTCATTCTTGATAAAGCTATGTAAGCTCATTGCAATCACTGCTTCTTTTTCTACATGTTCTAACGACCTCTTTAATAATCTGTTCAAAAAATTTTCCAGGTATCAAAGTCAAGCTCACTGGCCTATATAGTCAGCAGACTCTGTTCTCTCCCCTGGTCCTCCCTTTTTAAAAATTAGAATAATATTTGCCCTTTTCTAAACCTGTGGCACTTCAATCATTTCCTACAATATTTCAAATAATACTGACAGTGGCTTAGCAATTACATCTGCCATTTTTTTCAGTATGGAAGATGTAGTTCATCTGGACCAGGAGACCCTAATATATCAAAGAGCAACTAAGTGTTCTCTTACTACTCATTACTTATCTAGGTCATCAGCATCCAGTGGCAACATATATATACATACACAGTAAAGGAAGTAAAGGATGGAATCAGAGGTAGGGAAACATCTAGAAGTCCACTCTGACTGGAAGAGAGTACATGAAGGAAGATATTGTGCCCTCAAGGGCAGGGACTGTCTTTTGCCTTTCTTTGTAACCCTACCATTTAGCACAGTGCCTGGCACGTAGCAGGTGCTTTAACAAATGCTTATTAACCAACTGACTTACTGATTATTTTGGCAGCAGTGAAGGACAATATTGGAGAGAGTAAAAGCCTGGATACAGAGAGCCCAATTAGGAGACTTTAGAAGAGGCAAAAGACTGAACTAGAATAGTAAAAAAAATACAGCCACAATGAAGTGAGGGAGACAGATAAAGATATTAGAGCCAAAAAGAAGTTTAGGGATCATCTAATATTGGTGCTCCCCTGTTCCCACTTTACAGATGACGAATCTGAAGTCCAAAGAGCTTAAGTGATTAACTTAAGGACATCAAACTAACTCCAAAATTAGGGCTTTTTCCAATCTATCCTCCTCCAACCAAAGATTTGGGGAGCGTGACCACAATTAGCTAAACTGCTATGTTGAGGAGGATCTTTTTGTCTCTACCCAGGTGAGATGATTATTTTTAAAAACTGATTTGACAAATAGAAACCCAAGTGACTGTAATGGAAAGACCACTGGATTTAGAGTCTAAAGACTTGGGTTTAAATTCTGGCCCTATTACTTTCTATCTGAAAGACCTAAGGTAAGTCACTAAATCTAGCTGCATCTTAGTTTCCTAATATATAAAATGAGAAGATTGGACTGGATGGCTTTTATTATCTCTTCCAGTTTGAAATCTTATGAGCCTATATCCTATCTTCCTTCTTATGATACAGCTACTGACAGTTATAGAAACAGAAAAATAACATTTCTCTCTAAGCAGGAACTTAATTGTATATTACATTCTATTGGGAAAGGGAGAGCAAAGAGCAGGTGCCCCCAAAAGTAAATACAAAAAAGATACAAAATCAATTCAAAGAAATTTCAGGGAGATAGCAACTGGGGAATGGAGTTCAGTAGTGACTTTTTGAAGGAGACAATACTTGAGCTGAGCCTTGAAGGAAAATAGGAATTCCAAGAGGAAGGGGTGCGGAGAGAGCATAAATAAATGGAAACTACAGCAAGGGCTAAAGTCCAAAGGCTATGACAAATGAATAAACAAAATGAAAGCTTTCCAAGGTGATCTTTTTCTTTTCTCCCGGCTCTGCGTGGTGTATCATATACAGGACTGGACTTGGGAATAAGGAAGATCTTAGTTGGAATCCTGCCTCAGACGTTTACTAGCTGTGCAACCTTGGACAAGTCACTTAACTTCTCTCATTCAGCCTTTTTCTTGATCTGTAAAAAGAGGGGTTTGACCTCGGCTTCTAAAGATACTTCCAGCTCTCAATCTGTGATCCTTCGACCTGCAGATGAACCTGACGTAGAGGCTGTAGCCTGGAAGTTGTTTAGGTGTCTTAGCAATCAAATCCTTTCATAACCTGGCTCCTTTCCACCTCTGCAATCCTCTTACATTAAACTCCCTTCCATTTACTGTGCAATCCAGGGACACTGGCTTCTTGGCCGTCCATCCTTCACAGCACTCCATCTCTCAACAGCGCATTTCGGCTCTCCTCCACCCTCCCTCCATGGCTTTCCTGGTTACTTCCAAGTCTCAGCTAAAGTTCCACCTTCTAGAAGTCCTCCTCAATTCTAGTGACTTCCCTCTTGATTACCTCCCGTTATTCCTGTCTCAATCTTCTTTGCACATGGTTGTTTGCATGCTGTCTCCCCTTTTAGACCAGAAGCTTCTTGAGGGCAAAGACTGTTTTTTTTTTTAAATACTTTTCTTCTTTCTTCGCATCCCCAGCGCTCAGCACAGGGCCCGGCATACAGGAGGGGCTTAATAAATGCTAGCTGACTGACTAGCCCACGGCTCACAAGCGCGTGTAGGCCACGTCCCAGATCCCTGATCCCAGCGCGGCACATCGCGCCCGCAGAGCCCCGAAAAGGTAACGCGGAGAGAAGGAGTGGCGAAGGACTCACCATCAGCAGGGTGAAGCCGGTAAAGTCGGGCTCTGACGTCCCGCAGGGAACGAACATCGTCACGCCGGAGGAAGAAAGCGGGACGGGCGGGAGGATCCGGAGACGCAACAAGAGGCAAGCTGTTCGCAGCGCGCCGGCTCCGCAGCCCCGGGACGCAGCTCCGGGCTCTGGGGGAAGGGGCGGGGCGGGGCGGGGTCCTTCTTCTCCGTCGGCGCCGGCCCGGAGCCGGACCTTCTGAGCCAAACGCCTGTCTCGCTGGTGGCCAGATCTTGTTCTGGTGGGGAGAGGATCGCGTCAGGGGAGGTGGATGGCGGAGGTGGGGAAACTGAGGAAAGCCATGTGGGGAGAAGGGATTGGAAGAAGACGGCGCGCGGGAAAAGTCAGGCAGGCAGGCAGGAATCAGGCAGTGCGGCGGGCACCCTCGCACCCTTGCTCTCCGCCGCAGTTTGAAAGCAGTTGCGGGCCAGCTGCGGTCGCCTGGGTCGCGGTCCTGCTTCCCGCCCAGAGTGGGGCGCTTACGCGGGCCGGGCAGTCTGCGCGGGGAGGCGGCGCGCGGCCTGCCGGGGGTCCCGGCATAGCGTAATACCGCGGGGCGCGGCGGGCGGGTCGTTTGGAGCTCCCGGCGGGAGCGGAGGGAAGGGGAGGGGAAGTGGCAGTGGAGCCGCCGGGCTGCACCATGTCCCTGCCGCCGGAGAAAGCGTCTGAGCTCAAGCAGCTCATCCACCAGCAGCTCAACAAGGTGAGGGCAGCGACCCGGGGCGCGGGGCCTGCGCGCTCGGCCTGTGGCCGGGTCCAGGACCCCGGGGCGGGCGGAGGAGACAGCCACCTTCTCCCGCTTCCCGGCGGGGCTTGTCCCCGTCCCGGCCAAGGGCTCTTCCCTGGCTGCCTAAGGAAAGGGCTGCGTCGGGCGAGGACGTTGGGACGGTTGGCGATTAGACCTCGGGAGGAAACCGAATCCCGGAGCAGCGGGAGTTGTCCAGGGCAGGACTGCGAGCCCGGGGCCGCGCCCGCGGGGGGTCCGGGGCTCCGGGCGAGCGCTGGAAGGGACGTGGCGAGCCGGGGCGTGGGTTTGCTCCCGGGGCCCGGGTTTGCTCCCGGGGCCCGAGGGGCGTCCAGTCACTCAGATGGTAACTGGAAGAAAACTACAGAAACAGGTGTAATTGCATATCTCATAGGTGGTAGCATGTACAACCATGAGCCAGCGTTAAATACATATTCGTAAATGGTGCATATATATTCATATATATGTATAGGGTGTCCCAAAAGTCAGAATGAGTTTTGGAACTCTAATTTTTTGTGTGTGTATGCATGTATGTACACGCAGACACATAAATGCATGCATTTACAAGAATACAAACACAGAATCAGTTTTTATTGGTCCTTAATTTTCTGCAAATAGTTGTATAGAGTCCTGTTGATCTACAGGATAGATCTACATAAGGCAGATATAACGTGTATATGTGTATACATATGTATGTATGTATGTACATACTTGTATTATATGGGTCTGTGTGACTAACGTTTTCCAGTAAACTTTTGAGTGTCTGTTGTAGATAGAGGCCAATGTGTACATGAACAACATCAGATTCATATGGGCGTGCTGCCGAAGTTTTGCATTTATGGGCACTTACTGAAAGCTAGAATGAGCAGTGAAGTCCAGAGATAAGGGATGCAAGTCAGGATTTGAAAACATCTGCCATCTGTTCAGAGAGATTAAGAGAGAGATGCAGCAGCTTAGGTGGGTTGGGGACAAGGACAAAGAAACGTTAGAAAGAGATTGCTTGAAGATACTGCCTTGGCACTAGAGGAACAATTTGGAGTTTAAAATGCTCAAAGTCAAGAGAAAGAATATGTTTTGATTTGCTAAATGCTAGTGGGGAAATTGTGATGAAGATTCCAAGTAGTAAAAGATAGTAAATATTTCTATCAATTGGTATCGAACTTTAAATTATTAAAAAGTAAATGATAGAATCCGTTTTTACCATTCCTTCCTTTTTAACCAAATTGTTATATAGCCTTCTATTTATTTTTAATGTGGAAAGGCCAGGATTCAAACTTAGGTGTTTATTCTATATTTTTTCCAGTTATTTTTGCTTTACTGTTGTATATCCCTTTGTAAAACCAAACTTGTTTATTAGTGATGTTAAACTATCATCATACCTATTGAAAATTTGTTGGTTGCTATAGAAAAGGAAAAACATATAATGTTAAATTCTCTACATAGATGGATGTCCATGGCAGGATAAGAGAAGTCCTTGCTGAAACTATACGGGAAGAATTGGCACCTGAGCAACAACTTTCAACAGAAGATTTAATAAAAGCTCTTAGACGACGAGGAATCGTAGATGATGTCATGAAGGAGATCACTTTTGTTACTGTGAGTAGAAACAACAACTCTGTATTTTTATAAATATGTTGGAACCTCACTGTAACACTGGATTCAAGGTTCATGTTGTGGAGATGCTTTATAGGTAAAACCACCCTAAAATAGGTCTTCTTGGCATTTTATTAACTAAACATCCTTGTTTAGTTAATACCTACCTATAATGAATTCTGCTTTATGGTAAATAGTGTTTTAGTGTAGTTCCACAATATTGCTATTGTGTAAAAAATTCCTGTCTCCCAAAGTGATATAATTTTTTCTTGTTATCTTTCAATATGAAAATGGTTGTATTTGGCTCACACACTTACCTAACTTGCTATTTTAATGAAATTATAACTTGATCTCTCATCAGAGACAAGCCTTCCCTGAATTCTTATATCTGTAGACTTGAGCCTACTACTAACTTAGTCTGACCACCACCAATTTTTCATTTTGATTCTAAAATGACTTTACAAACTTTGTAGACCAAAGGTCAAGCTATAAGTTTAGCTATTGACATCAAATTCCCTTTTGTGAAACAGTCTTAGTAACTAAAAATAAAGCTGTTCATTTCTTTACATAAAAATAATACAGGAACTGCTCTGATACTATAAAGTCAATTGGCAAAAATAGGTCATTTAGTGGTATAAAAAGCTCCCAATGCAATAGTGATGGTGACCAGACCTCTTTTGTAAAAATAAGAAATGAAATGAGAAACTGTGACCTAAATTACCTGGTAATATGTTGTAAGAATTGAGATGATCTTGATAATACACCAGAGACTAAGTACTTTAATACAGCTTACTTTTTTGGTGACTGAGACTCATAAAACCATTTATTGTAATTAGCCTAATAACAGTTCCTACTTCATAACTGTCAGTACCTAATTAAAATTAGTTCATATCTGGAAAGGTATCAAAATTCTGTTTGTAGGGTGGGTAAAATTTAAATTTTATTCCAGAACTTTAAGACTTAATCATCATGCTGGTTCATGAATAAAACTCGGTTTTTAAACCCTTGTACATTAGTCTTAGCATGTTATTATTGTAGTAGGTTTTTATATTATTGAAATACGAGATTGTTTTATTTTTTATTACAGTGACGGTTAGCACAATAAGGAGTGGTTTTGATGGTATCTAAAGTGCTATTCTTTCCTTTTGTGTAAGAAATGGAAATTGATCCCTTAAAGTTGTTGGAGTTTTCTTAAGTAATAATGACTTTGTCTCTGTGTTTTTCTCCCTTTCTAGGACCTAGCTGATGGAGAACTGACTTCCTCTCCAAAACCATCTAATTTTAATGATAAGCAATCAACCCTATTGAAAAAAAGTGTGTATTTTAATCTTAATATTAATTTAGTTGCTGTTAGATATTTATGCATTATAGTATACTTTCTTTGATAGTGCATATTTGAAAACATGTTAAAATTTCATTATCAACAAAAATAAATAAACTTTACTTGTAGGGGGACAATATATAATTTTATGAAACAAAATAAATGAATTCTTTTTCATGTGTTATAATGCTACATTTGATATCAGATGTGCAGCCTGCTTTTAAAAGTAATATCTATACATGATTTAAATACATTTGTCTGTCCCAAATAATTGTCAAGCTCTAAGGGGAGAGTTGGTGGTTTGATGAAACTTAAAATGTCAAACAAGCACTTTAAAAAACAACAGGGAGCCCAAAATCTGAATCTAGCTCCTTCTTTGAGCCAGAACATTAGAAAAAGGTCACTACTTACATGTGATCTTTACTTCTGATGAACAGATGACTCTTAAAAATTATTTTATGTGTCTTTTAGTTTTATTTCTATCAATTTAATATTTCCTTTTGTTTTAATCACATTCCTTAAAATATTCTGGCAGTTTCCTCATATATATTGCTACACTTTACAGCTAATATTGATCCAACACGGAGGTATCTTTACCTTCAGGTTTTGGGTGGAAAAGCTTTCTTGGAACATCTACAAGAACCTGATCCTTTACCTGGACAAGTTTGTTCTACCTTCACTTTATGTTTACATTTTCGAAACCAACGTTTCCGCTCTAAACCTGTCCCATGTGCCTGTGAACCAGATTTTCATGATGGCTTTTTGCTTGAAGTACACAGAGAAAGCTTAGGTAAGAAATCCACTGAGTTAACTCAGTTAATCTTAATTTATTTTCCATGTCAGTATTTTTTAAATATGTATGATATGTAAAATTAAACAATTGTATTTTTGCTACTAGGGAAAATTTACAATGCTCACACCCTCCCTTCCATTTTCTTCATTTTTACTCCCTCATTTTCTCCCTCCCCTTTCCAGTTTTGCCAGTCTTTTTATAGTTGAGTTCCACTTCACTATTTCTCTTCTGTGCCAGCTGTCACCCACCTTGTCTAATCCTTTCCTTCATCTTTTGTCTCAGATTTTTCTTGGCAGTTTGTAGTGATTGTGTTTACTATGTAATTGATGGTGGGTAGCTAGATTTCTAGAATCATTAAAATAAATGTGTATTTTAAGTATATTTCATAGTCTTGAAGTGATGGTAATGGAATCTTTGTTTTACTTTATGCCAGAGGTTCTTAACTAAGGTCCATGAACTTTTTTTTTTTTGTTTTGTATTTTATTTTATGCATTTAAAAACATTTTGAAAAGGGATCCATAGGGTTCACTAGACTGCCAAAGGTGTCCATGACACAAAAAAGCTAAGAACTCTTTCTTTAATATTATGTACTTTTTTGCATCATCATTTTTACATACTTTTTTTTACTTTGACTATACAATGAGTTTTATAGTATACCTGAAAAATAGGTAACTATATTAATGTGTCCTTGTGTAATAGAGAATTCTAATATTAGTTTAAAATTGTAATTTATTTTTTCCATAAGAAATATACTTCATCATTATTTAATTGAACTTTTTTTTTTTGCTAAATCCAAAGTGATGAATATTTCATTTTGGCTTAGATGAATTACTTTTGCCTATTCGTGGATCATTTTTGGTATATTTGAAAGGTTTTTGTCTGTTGAAATTTTGAATAGTACTTGCAGAATATGTAGCAGCCAATATTATTTATGTAGTATAATACAGTCTCTTCAGTACTCTTCTAACAATACCAACTACTAAGAACTCCATGAGATGCTTTCTCATTTTAAAAATAGAGATATGCAACATGTCTAATATCTATACCTGGATCACTTCTTCCAGTTTGACCCAAACCTCTTAGAAGATAAAACCATAATTATGCTTTGCTGTTATAAATAAACTTTAAAATGTATATAAAAATGTAACTGAAGAGAACTGGTTAGAGATTTCTGTGCTTTTATCATTGCGTACATTTTCCCTTGAAAACAATATAAAATCTTATTTGATTTTGTCTTAGTGATTATGCTTTTGATGAAATTATTAAGGCTAATATGATATATAACACTTATAATCACTTTCTCTTGGTTTGATATTGCTAGGTGATGGAACTAGAATGGCCGATGCAACAACAATGTTATCAATATGTGATCCAGTACATATGGTTCTAATAAAAACTGATATATTTGGTGAGACCTCTTTAGTAGCATCCTACTTTTTGGAATGGCGATCAGTCCTTGGCTCAGATAATGGAATGACCAATATTGCTGTGGAACTTCTAGGTGTAGGTATGATGATTAGAAATCAAGGTTATAAGGAGTTTTTTCTTTTTTTTTAAATAGATTGCTATTTATATCTTTTATCACCATCTAAATTTCCCCTATATTCCTTTTCTTTACCTTCTCTTAAAGAGTCATGTTATAACAAAAAAAAACAAAAAAAAAGATGAAAGGAAAAAAACTCAGCAAAAACAATCAATATATCAAATAAGTTTTTTCTATGCCTTTATCTGTGCCCATGGTCCTCTACTCCTTCAAAGGTGCTAGGGCAGGTGTCTTCTCATATTTCATCTTTGGAGCCATTCCTCCCCCCAATTAGATTCTCATATCCTATTACTGGGAAAACATCCAGAGGGAATATGAGTTTACCCTTTCGTACCCAATCTGGCTTTGTCATAAATTATTGTCTAAAATGAACATAGAAATTTTGGATAATTTCTTCCAGAGATTCAAAAATAAATGATTAAAAAATTACTTTTGTCTGCCTTCTAATAAAACTCCAATATTTTTATGTGTGAATTATAATGCTATTATTTCAATGTTGAGCTTATTGAGCAGTAACTAAATTTAGCAGGGTATTTGGTAAGAAAACTTACTCCAAAAGACTAAACTCTCAGTAATTTAGGCATCACTGATAGAAGTAATGCAAATTTGGGAATTTTTATATCAAATTAAAAGTTAGAGATAATTGCTTTGTTTAAATATTTTCATTGTCTGATACAGAAATTTCAAAGCTAAAATTAGTAGCCTTTTGAAGGTAGCTGCTGATGAAATTAAGAATTCCCATAACATGCTTCATCTTTGAGGATTCATAAATTGTATGTTAAAGAACTTTTACATTTATGATAATCTTATATGATGTAGGTCTATGGTGAATTAATTTTTTAAAAATGTAAGTCATTTTAGATATTATTATAATTTACATTCCCTTAGTTTATATTTGTATGTGCTCTAACAAAACTGCACATAGACATTTTTTAAAAATTTAAACTTTTTGCTAATTCAGACTGGATTCCTCACATTTATTTTAAGGTGATATACTGAAGTCTTTTAGTCTATACATTACTGGTTAATATTAGTAATTGTTAAGGTTCACTGAAATCACCTGGGTAGCACAACTAGTAAATCATGTTGTAAATCTCTCCCTCTCCTTCTTTATCAATTAGTAAATTAGTAAATATCCAAATTTTAGACAACTGGAAATTTCAAAAAACTTTTATTTTTGTCATTCTGTTTTTAGATAAGAGCCAAATTACAAGCAAATAAGATGATATCTGAAATTTTTAAAAAAAATCATCTCCAAGGGATTTCCTGTACATTGAGTCCAAACTCCTATGTCTTGTGAAAATATAATATTGTTTACTGATAGTTGACATTCACAATGGCAACCCTAGAACATTGCAAGTTTCAGATTTGATGCCTTCTGAGGTGTCAAATATAACATTATGCTTATTTTGGGTGTCAAGTATTTATTTAGTCTTCTAAATTTTCGGAAAAATTGCCATCTAAGCAATTTATTCAATTAAGCCAAATCCTGCATACCAGCTTTATAGTAGGAAAATCTAAGCTTGATGCCAAATTTCATTACTTGTTCGGCCTTTGGTAAATCACTTCAGCATTTGTTTCATCATTTGGAAAATGAGGGTAACATCTTCCCTGACTCCCCCATAAAGTTAAAAGCGTCAAGTGAACTAAAGGATGTGAAACTACTTAGTAAACTATAAGCACAATCCAAATGGTGGCCAACAAAGTACAGAGGAATAAGCATTAGCTTTGGAGTCAGAGGACCTGTGTGTGACTTTGAGCAAGGTATTTCCCCTCACTGAGCTTCAGTTTCTTCATCTGTAAAATGAGGGGGTTGGATTAGATGACCTCTTAGATCCCTTCCAACTCTAAATCTATAATGCTGTTAAATGTAAAGATAATATTATTTAACTGTCCTAGGCAAATAGGCATGTGCTGTACATGCAAAATTAATAGTAGAAGATTTCTTTTGCCATTAGTTCAAGCTGAGGTGAGGGCAGTTTTTTTAAATGTCATTTCAATGTTTTTTTTAAAAGCTAAAGTTGGGGGCAGCTAGGTGGCACAGTGGATAGAGCACGGGCCCTGAAGTCAGGAGTACCTGAGTTCAAATCCAGCCTCAGACCAAACACTTGACACTTACTAGCTGTGTGACCCTGGGCAAGTCACTTAACCCCAACTGCCTAAAAAAAAAAAAAAGCTAAAGTTGTATGCTGGTGCAATTTATTTTGTACATAATTCCAAGACCGACATAGTACTATATGTAATTTTGTACATATTTTGAATACCCTATCATTACCTGACTGAGTCCCTCAAATTAATAAATTAAAACCTTAAATAACATTTTAAAATCTAGCGATATTAAATTTGTTACTTTGATTCATTATTGAATATGAATTTCTTTTTTTTTCCACTTAAATGTTAATTAGTCTAAATTCTATTTGAGGGAAATGTTTGTTATCTAGAATTTGTGTGATGTTAAAACCTCTAATATTTACATTTGTAGGTACAGAATCAAAAGTTTCTGTTGGAATTTTAAATGTAAAACTTGAGGTATATCCACAACTTAATCAAACATTGTCCCAAGAAATAGTAAATACTCAGGTAAGGAATTCTGATTTTTTTTCATCTTGGCACTCCTTTTTATAATAATGTTTGCCTCTTCATGTTCAAGTTATTAAACTTCTATGGACTACCTCTCTGTCCTAAGTACATAGAAATGTTCTGGGGGGATACAAAGCATGTGAACCCTACTCTAGAGCTTGTATTCCACTGGGGAGACTAAATATGTGTGTGTGTGTGTGTGTGTGTGTGCGCGTGCACTTGCGCATACATCTATGTGTGAAACGAGATAAGGATTACAAGTGGTAGATGAAATTGAATACATAAATTCTGAGGGGATATGGAATAAAAATGTAATTAGAATAAGGTAGAATTAAATCAGAGAAAAATTGAAAACTGTCCTTCAGTACTCTCATTTCCTAAGATGTATTGAAAGTGCAAAACAAATTGGTTAAAATTACTATAAATCCTATTTTTTAGAAAAGCATTCTATTTTTAAAATCTTGGGAAAAAATTAAGTGGAAGATGCTGTATGGTTTTGAGTCCAGTACTATGGTGAAGAAAAAAATGAAGTTTGGGTTTGGAAGAGAAGCCTGACTCCTTTGTTTGCTTAGTGAATCAGCAGTATTTTATATCATGGCCATATGCTATATATAATTTTCTCCTCTTTTTCCTTATATGGATTTGTACAAAGCAGGCACTAGCCACGATGTTGGGAAGTTACTATTCTCTCATTCTGTAGCATGTTGTTTTCCAGGGCCTGGAAATGGCACTTTATTTAGAGTTATAGCATCTGAATTTCAGTTTTGCTACTAATCTGCTACTACCTCTGTGACCTTAGGCAAATCACTGAACTTCTGTGGGCTTAAGGTACCTTATCTATAGAATAAGGGAGTTGGGACTAGATAGTTTCTGAGGTTTTTTCCAATTGCAATTTCATTTTTATAACACAAATTTAAAACTGAAAAGTCCGAAGTTGACCTGTACTTCAGGCCAGTAAGACACTGCTTTTTGTATACTCATAATAGTATCCATTTCATAACATTTTTCTGAAAGTTAATTTTATTTTTTGATAGCTTAAAAAAATGGAAGGCCTTTATTTTCTGATTGAGCAAAGGGTAATTTTCTCCCTAAAGATAAACCATTCTGGGAGACTATATGGGTGGAATATCACCATATCATATATTAATGTGTTGGTTGGTTTTATGTAACTGCTTTCCTCTTTTAAAAAAACAATTAAAATGAATGGTTCTGAAGGGTTGTATCTGGAAATAAATGCAATTTAAAAACAAAAAAATCTGAAAAATTTGAAAATAAATATATTTTAATAATTACGTATAAAGTTGGAAATCAACCTAGTACACATTTCTTTAAAGACTTTAAAATATTAATTTTAATTTCTTTGGTATTGTAATTTTTAGCATTTAATAACCAAGTTACTTTTTTAATAAGCTCATTATTTCAAGTTTAATACTCTGTGATGAATGGACATATAAGAATTTTTTTAAACTAACATACTAGGTTATTCTTTATTAAAGCTTGCTTTGGAACGACAGAAAACAGCAGAGAGAGAGCGTTTATTTCTTGTATATGCTAAGCAGTGGTGGAGAGAATATCTGCAAATACGACCTTCCCATAATTCGAGACTGGTAAAGATTTTTGCACAGGTTTGTGGATTACATCAAAGTAATTTCTCCTCATATATCCGTTATCCAGTTTGGTATATACATTTCATTTAGCATAGTCATGCAAGGAAAATCAAGCAAATAAGATAGAATGCCAATTTCATTTTCTTTTTCTATTTGAGTGTCTCCTAGGTGAAAGAATAGGCTGACCAACCTCGTTTATAATTTTTTATAGTTATAATTTTATAATTATAAACCTAGTTTATAATATTTTATAAGAATGGTTTGATTCTAGACTTTTCTAGACTTCCTGTAAATATTTACTTTAAAATAGATAAAACCCATTCATTTAATTAGAGAAATCTATTTACTTGATACTTGTGAACTTTACAAATACTGCTTTGATAGTTTATAAAATGAATTGGTGCTTTGTGTATACAAGTTAAATCTTATTGGAACAAGTTACGCAATCTCAGTATATAATAGATTTCTTTTTGAAGAAACACAATTCCAGGAAGGTCAAATTGTTTTTATTTTGTTTTCATTTGAAGGGACTGTTTAAGTGCTTTTTTATGTGTAACCTTAAATAGATGTTATTATTTCTAGTGTAGTGACTGTAGTTGAACTAGCACTGGGAAGGGAGAGACTTGTGACCTGAAGACCGGTCAGCAGGTTATTGCAATAGTCTAGGTATGAGGTGATAACTGCTTGCACCAGAGTGGTGTCAGTGTCTGAGGAGGGAAGGGGGTAGATGTGAGAGATGTTAGGAGGGTAGAATTGACAGGACTTTGCAACAAATTGGATATGAGGAGTAAGAGAAAGTGAGGAGTTGAGGATGATAACAATGTTGTGAGCCTAGATGACTGGTAGGGTGGTGGTGCCCTCAACAGTCATAGGGAGATTAGGAAGAAGGGTGGGTTGCCTCAGCACCCCAATAGAATATAAACTCCTTGAGGGCAGGGGCTGTTTCATTTTTACCCTTGTATTCCTCTACCGTGCATGGTACCTGGCACATAGTAGGTGTTTAATAAATGCTTGTTGAATTAATGAATGAAGATCTATATAAATAGCATTAAAACTTTATTCTTATATATATATTTTTTTGAATTGCAGTCACATTTATTTGCAGTTTCTATACACTCTTTCTAGGTAATCAAACTTCTGACACTTCTTTTGAGAGGGGTTCACAGTGAAACTGTCACCGTTTTTACTAAAAATAAATACGAGGCTTAAAGTATTACACAGCTCTAAAATATACAAAGGCTTGGATTGAATGTAAACTTTGAAAACATTTTACAAAAGAAACCATCTTTGCAACAATTTAAAAAGTTTATATTTACAAATATTACAAAAACACAAAATGGATACAAGTCCATAAACCATTGTCTTTTCTGCCAGCATGAACTGGTTCTAGTACCAAAATAGTTACATTGTAACCTTCTTAATTGTTTTAAATCTTTAAGTCAACCTATTTCTCTAAATCTGCCACCATTGCAGTAAATGCACTCAATCACTGACCTTTGGCAAAAGCAAACACACAGGATGCTTTATTTGCTATAACTATTCCATGTCCTCTATTCAGTGAAAAGAAAACAAAATGAAAAAGCAAACAAACAAAAAAACCCCAAAGCAAAATCAAAACTAAGGAAGGGGGAGGTTTTTTTTTTTTTTTTACAGAATACAGAAACAGTTGCATAAACTTCAAAATCATTTTAGTAACATCAGTGCAAGTAACTGAACAAAAGTTGGAATGATGTTTCTCACTGAAATTTTATTTCTAAAGCAATTTAAGTTTATTTTTCTTGTTCATCTTATCCTATATATATAGCTTATTCTAAAGAAAGTGATAAAGTTGAATGGAAATTAATCATAAATGGTACCTTATTTTCAGGATGAAAATGGAATAAATAGACCAGTATGCTCTTATGTCAGACCCCTTCGAGCTGGACGGCTCCTGGATACTCCAAGGCAAGCAGCAAGATTTGTTAATGTCCTTGGTTATGAAAGAGCCTCTGTTATTGGAGGAGGAGGTAAACACGAACAGTGGTGCACTCTACTGGCCTTTCTCTGTAGAAACAAGGTATAGGATTATTACAGCAGTCCATTATAGTTACTCTGAACTTTTTTACCCCCCAAAATGTTTAGATAACAATCTAAACATTAAATTATTATTCAAGATCCTAATCTATTACTTTCACTATGGGGGGTGGGGGGGTAGGGCGTGAATACACTTAAAAGTCGAAGAAGAAAAATAATGACAAGACTGAATAATGAAAGCCAATGAGTCACCAAAAATAAATAGTTAAGGAAGGAGAGTAGAAATAATAACATCTTGGATTTATACAGCAGTCTGTTTCTTTAATTAAGTAATTATGTTTCTATTTCACTTAATGAGAACCATGTAAAATAGGGAGAGACAGCTAGCATTTATCTCATTTTTAAAGATATAAATACTGATGTATAGTGATAAATAGTGAATTGTGGTAGAACCCAGACTAAAACCCTAGGAACCTCATTCTACTTGTATTCCATTTGCCTAGGCAGTAAATTAAAAGAAAGATTTGATGGTTGAAATTATAACATTTAAACATTCAAAATTTTTAGTAATTTTCAATAATTTAATTTAGAAATATTATTGGATTGTTTCTTGATCTTCCATGTTCCATAAATACCTTTAAAAATAGTAATAGACGTGTAGAGGTACTTTCTAGGATTCATTTTATTGAAACAATGTCAATACAAGAAATAGAGATTTTCAACACAATCTTATTTTGGTTTAATCTCTGTTATATAGAGATTATATATATGGTATGTATTCAGATATATGTAATGAACCTCTAGCATAAGTGAAAGACAATATGTTGGTTAAAAGAGATTGATTTTTCAAGTGAGACAATGTGTCTAAAAGTATTTGGAAAAGTAGATCTGATCAATCATCTAAAATTTTAAACAAGTCTATTTTGTTGTCCTTGCTGTGTTCTAAAAAAGTCAAACATAAGTATTATTTATTTTTAAGAAAAGTTATTCACACAAAGATGGGTTTGGGACCACCCTGTATTACAGTTTATTTAGGTTGTCCAGTATTTTAGATAATCATATAGTGATTCCTTTTACAAAGCAAAGAATCACTTTCTCCTTTCCCTGTTTAGTAAATTTAGTAATTTGCCTGTTTAGGTCATCTCAGTGGGGAGGTATGTGTAGATTTTGAGGTTTTATATTTGAAAAGAAATTTTAGAATTGCAATTGTAATTAAATATGTCTTATTAAACAATTATAGAACTAAAACTGTAAATGAAAAATAGATGGGAACACTTTAGGGTAATAGTAATATTACCCTAATATTAGGGTAATAGCACAAATGACATACTTTTATTACTTATTGGAACCCGGTAGATGGGTTGCTTCGTGACAAACCTATCACAAATTTCTAACTTTCCTTTTAGTCTCAATTGATAATAACTTTGAAGAATTAATTTTACTTTTGATCTAAATATATTCTTTCTAGAAATGAATAAAGAGATCAAATTAGGGTTCAGGTTAAGTGCCCTTTTAATACCCTAAATAATAAAGTGGTTGTCAAGAGTTAATGCCTTGGGCTGTATAAATGGAAAACAGCAATCTTTTTATTTGACAGAAAATGAAGTTCAGTGACTTATTAAAGGTAACAGATAAAATTTCTGACAGTGCTAGGACTCAGAATTTACAACTCCTTGGTTTCCAAGTTCAAAATATTACTTGTGAAAATGGAATTGCACATTAGGAGAATTCTTGTTTTGTGAACCTTAAATTTATAGCAAAATTTTTATTTGACCCTAAAACTGATGATTATTTTTTAACTTCAAAGATATTTTATCACCTTGGCTCTGACTTTTTGGATTGATTAGAAGCCAAAGAAGCTTATTTATAGATCTCTGTTTTGTATTTTTTATATGTGCTGGAAAACAATTGATAAATATTTTAACACACTTTCTTTATTTCCTAGGGTGACTGTGAAGATCATGCTAACCTTTTGTGCAGCCTTCTCCTTGGATATGGATTAGAAGCCTTTGTTTGTGTAGGGACAAAGGCTAAAGGAGTCCCTCATACCTGGGTCATGACGTGTGGGACTGATGGCACCATTACTTTTTGGGAAAGTTTAACAGGGCATAGGTCAGTAAACTTAATTTTTAAAAACTGATTAGACAGAGGCAGCTAGGTGATGCAGTGGATAGAGCACCGGGCCTGGAGTCAGGAGGACCCGAGTTTAAATCTAGCCTCAGACACTTGACACTTACTGGTTGTGTGACCCTGGGCAAGTCATATAACCCTGATTGCCTCACACCCCCCCCCCAAATTAATTAGACAAAGATACACTGTTTTTAATATCACTTCACTGTTCATGTTGACATGTGATTTAAAATGTATATAGTAGACTAAGTTTAATTTTTTAGTCTTTATATGGTCATGTAAATATTTCAACTAAGGGGGGCAGCTAGGTGGTGCAGTGGATAGAGCACCGGCCCTGAAATCAGGAGAACCTGATTTCAAATCGGGCCTCAGACTAAACACTTGACACTTACTAGCTGTGTGACCCTGGGCACTTAACCCCAATTGCCTAAAAATAAAATAAAATAAAATTTGAAAAAATATTTCAATTAAGGCAGCTATGTGAACGAATAACAAGAAACTTTTGACCTATAAAAGTTTTTTTAAAACTCTCTTATTTAGCTACACTCATAGTAAAATCAAACCAACCTTTCAGCTTATTTGACAGAAATTGTTATTATAAACAAGTTTACTACCAACTATTCCTAAGATTGGATAGAAGTCGGATTTTTAAGTTACAGTACAAAAATATTATATGAAGAAATCCACAAGAATGTCAGTCATATGAAACTGTGTTTATCTTTAGAAAAGTTTATATGCCAGTTTTGAAGTGAATGATTTTAATTAGGGCAGCTACGTGGTACAGTAAATAGAACTCTAGGCCTGAAGTCAGGAAGACTCATCTTAATGAGTTCCAATCTGGCTTCATTCACTTACTAGCAGTGTGACCCTGGGCAAGTCACTTAACTCTCTCTGTTTGCCTCAGTTTCCTCATCTATAAAGTGAGCTGGAGAAGGAAATGGCAAACTACTCCAGTATCTTTGCCAAGAAAACTCCAAATGGGGTCACAAAGTGTCAGATACAACCGAAAAACAACCAAAACAACAATTTTGATTTAGTGGGTGCATTTATGTAATAATGCTCTGGTGTGGAGCAAAGAGCACCCACCTTGAAGTTGTGAGTTCTCAGTTTAACTCTGGCTTCTGGCCATGGTCAAGCTACAATTTCTCTGAACCTAAGTTTCTTCATATGTATAATAGGAATAATAATATTTGTAATTATAACTGTGATAATACCTACCTCAGAGAATTTGTAATTATAATAAGTAAAAGTGCCATATAAATGTAAATTGTTTTTGTCTAGAAAGGAGCAGTAGTCTCAGTTTTGCTTGGTATAGCTGTTTTATTTTAGTTGTGCACTAAGTGTGCTTAGTTTGACCTGCAAACTTAACAACAGTATTGGTTCAAATTAAGCAACTCTCCAGAAGAAGTTCTCTGAAAAGCAAAGAAAATAAAATGTATTGCATGCATGTATATAGGTGTGTAAATATGTGTACGTACATATGACAGAATCCATATCTAGAAAAAATAACAGTGATTGTACGCAGGTTTCATACAAATCCATATTTAGCTCTCAACATAGACCAATATGATACTTTCTTGATTAAACTAAATATTGTGTGTTGGCCATAAACTGACAAGAGGTCTTAGTTCATTGGTTATCATTCAAGTGGAGTGATTGAATTATGAACATGTGCAAGAAAGAAAGACAAATAAGTGACCAGCACTGGGGAGCAGCTCCGTCCTTCAGTGGTAGCTAAATGTTTTTGTATTATATTTAAATAATCTTGAATGTTAAAGTGTGTCATTTTTATCTTCAGGTATATCCATAAGCCCATTAATCCTGATGATCCTCCAGCTGTTGAGCAACCCAAACCACTTTACCCATATCGAACTATAGGGTGTGTTTTCAATCATCAGATGTTTTTGGGAAACTGCCAACCTTCTGACTCAGTAGAACTTTGTGTATTTGATCTGAATGATGAGTCCAAATGGAAACCCATGAGCGAAGAAGCAATCAAATCGGTTTGTGCTCCTGGGGCCACAACTTCGCTTCCTCTCTTTCCCCCTCTTTGTGCTTCAGTGATTGATTCTTCAGTAACAAGTAATGAAATCGAGATGCAACTGAGATTGCTGGTGTCAGAACACAGGCAGGTAAGTATTTTTAAAAATTTAAATATCATAGATTTTAAAAAAGCAGCTGTTAGCAATCAATAACCAAAATACTGACTTTCAGGGACTTTGTAGCCAGGGATGGAAATTAAATTTTTTTTTCCTGGGATATCAATAATTTATTAATTCTGAAGGTGAAATTTGCTATACTTGTCAAGCATCACAATAGGGATGATTAATCTTCTTTGACTTTAAGTAAATATTAGGAATTTGAAACTTTATTTTGTATAGGTTTTTTCTAATATAGTTTAAAAACTATAAAATCAGATTCAATTATAACTTGTGTAAGGTTTTTTAAAATGTAGTTTTTAAAAAAGTACTACTTTCTTAAGTTATTTTTTCTGCTTATTGTTGACACATAATGTGAAACATTTTATGTCTTGAGCGGATGTACAAAATTGAGGTGGAATCACAGAATTTAAAGCCAAAAGAGATCTCAGAAATCATCTAGTCTGTCAACTCAATTTTTCTAGTAAGCAACCTGAGGCCCAGAGAGATTAGTTGAGTGGAACAAGCTAATTAATAGCAGAGCTGGCACTGGAATCCTATTCTTCTGACTAGTAAGTTAATTATTGTTCCACTGAAATTATGTTACTAGTATTCTGCTTTTATATTGGGGATATTCCTTGGTATTTTCTTAGGTGGATATACATGTGTGTGTGTGTGTGTGTGTGTGTGTGTGTGTGTATGTATACACATATATACATACATATATAAATTTGGCACTGCTTTGTATCATCTTTTCAGTATGTTTAGATTATTTTAAAAGTAAAAACTCATACCAGTAGTTTCCTTTCTGTTATATGGCTTTGTAATACCTTTCATCAAAACCTTTTGTTGAAATATACCAGATTATATGATTTTCTTTATGCTTTATAAATAGAAAAATATGTTTTTCATGGTTTACTTTCTGCTACAGGATCTTGGCCTCACTACCGTGTGGGAAGACCAGCTCTCCTATCTTTTGTCACCAGCTTTGGCATCTTATGAATTTGAGCGCACAACTAGCATATCTGCAGGAAATGAAGAATTTCAGGATGCCATACGGAGAGCTGTACCTGATGGTCATACATTTAAAGGCTTCCCTATACATTTTGTTTATAGAAATGCAAGACGAGCATTTGCTACATGTCTCCGGTAGGATATTCTTAGAATCAGACCCTTAGAGCTAGAGTAGATTATAGGGAACATTTAGCCCAAACCTGTTTTATAGATAAAGAAACTGCGTTCTGGAAAGATTATGTGCCACATTCAAATTCCCACAAAAATTAGGCTGGAATTTCTCAGGTAGGCATGGTACAGTGCAAAGGGGACTGAGAAGAAGCAATCTAAGAGGCAGGCAGGAAACCAGGGGAGAGTGGTGTCATGACATCCTAGAACAGATTGTCCAGGTAGAGAGGGTGCTCAACAGGATCAAATGCGCAGATAAATTGGGTGAGAAAAGCCATCAGATTTGGTAGTTAAGGCAGCCATCTGACCGAAAATGTGGCAGTGGAGTTGTTGGGTTTCATTAACAACCTATCATGTCTCACACTCTAGCATAATATTTAAAGCAATCAAGAGATCTACAGGTGTTTATAAGAATTCTTGTTTACTTAAAAAAAAAAAAAGATGGAATGGCATTATTTTCCTTGAGTACTTAACTTTGGTATTAGTATTTTTATTTTGTCTCTGTACAGGTCTCCTTTCTGTGAAGAAATAATCTGTTGCCGAGGGGATCAAGTGCGACTTGCCGTCCGTGTTCGAGTATTTACCTACCCTGAATCTGCTTGTGCTGTTTGGATCATGTTTGCTTGTAAATATCGATCTGTGCTGTGAAAAGAATCACACTTGTTTTCTTTTGATAGAGACTTGACACTGTACATCATTAGCCATTCACAGGTGCTTTCTTGTAAAATCACTCTCTGGCTCATATATCACAATTTCAGTTTTGTATATAAACTTAACAAATAATGTTTGCAAATATTGGTGTGTGTATTTAAAAATTAAGGATGAAAGACTTGTGTAAACTTGCGTGGGGTGTAGCATAAATTAAGTGTGTATTTTAATAAATGCCACATTGTTTACAGGTATTCAGTAGTATAAATATAATATTACTCAGTTTTCTGAAATTCATAATTATTCATCCAAAAGGTATGTCTCTAAGGGTACTTACTTGTGGTAAGATCAGTAGGACTACTAAGTTTTATAAATAAAACTATTTAAAGTTTGCAGAGGCAGAAATAATGTAAGTTAATTTTATAACAGCAATATAGCTGAAAACAGGTGAGAAAAGTAGATTTTAATAGATCACTACAGGGTCAGCCAACCAATAATTCTTTAGTATTTGATCATCCTAAAGAACCTCTGAAGAAAGTATGAAGGAAAACAACTAGTAAAGCCGACATTCTTAACAAATAACACAAAACAGATACCACATAAAACAATTGAATTCTGTAAATGTCAGGGTTACTTAGTTTGATAAATTGATTGGGTGTTAATTGTGGGGAGGGGAGTACTTTGTCAATGACACTGATAAATTTTAGTTTCTATGGAATATTGTCAGCCCTGTGTATGTTACCTCCAAAAAATTCACAGCCATCATCTGTACTTGGAAGAGCTCAGTGATTCTCGCCGTTTTAGCTCATTTCCTTTCCATCTTTAAACCTGTGACATGATAAGATATATTTTCAAAAGGCCTATCCTAACCTAGCTTAATCCTTGTGAGGCATGTGAAAATGAGTAGGTATGATAGATTTAATGCACACATTAATTATAATCTTCAGGGAATGCTATTTTACCACCAGTGATGATATCACATTACATTTTATAATGCTTTACAATTTTCAAAGCACTTTCGCATGTTATTTAATTTGATCCTTAAAATGATTTTGTTAGGTTTTGCAAGACTTCCCTCTACTTAACAGATGACAAAGTTGGGACTCTCTTTAGTTAAAGAGAGTAAAAGCCCAAGGCAAATCAGTAGTAAATTGCAGAGATTGTACTAGAATCCTGGTCTTCTGACCACTAGTCTGTAATATACCTTGTTACTCCCAGATAATCATGATCAAGGGAAGCACTTGAGAGATTGTGTATGCCTTTTTTAATAGAGGCAGTAAGAGTTTGAATGGTACAAATGATAGGTTTGACTCTTCTTGCTTCTTCCTTAATAGTATTTTATTTTTCCGATTACATGTAAAGATAGTTTTCAACATTGATTTTTGTAAAGTTTGGAGTTCCAAATTTTTCTCCCTCCCTCCCTCCTCTCCCCCTTCCCCAAGACAGTAAGCAATATGATATAGGTTATACATGTATAATCATGTTAAACATATTTCCACATTTTGATTCTTCTCGTTTGAACACAATGTTCATTGTCCTGGTCTCAATTCTACTCATTCATATTTTAATTTCATATTTTAATCATCACATACACATATGTGATTTACAGAAGATAGAGTATAGCAAGGCCATAACTAAAATATTGAAGGTGCCTATCACTGGGGGAGTAGTACCGCTAAGCCTTTTCAGATCCATAGTCACTGTATAATTATCTGGATATTTTTACGAAGTTCATCAGAACCTAAGTGATATTGAAGGTCCTTTAAATAATAACTTAAAGGAATTATGTCTTTTCAAAGAAAAGGAAAAATTGCTTTTATTTTTCCTTATTCCTACCATTTCTTACCTTCTACCTACCTCTAGAGATTAATGATTTAAGTTTTAAAAGCATTAAAAACCTAGAATAATCATATATTCTAAACTTTCTTTTGGTTTTATTTTTGATTTTGATAAGGATCATGACTTAATTTGTGCTTTTTAAAAAATAAAGTACGTAAATACCTCACTATGCCCTTTTTTGCACCATTTTTACTGAAAAAATTAAATTGAATGTTATGATAATTGTGAATTGCAGTTTTAGTAAAATGGGATTTAAGAAATTTCTACTATACTGCCATATGTGACAATTAAACTAGGAATAGAATTGTTAAATGAAAATTGCCTATTTGCTTTACACTGAACTCAATAATCAAAAGATTTGCACATAAATTTTGAAATAACTTAATGTTATCTAATTACAATTAGTGCATGCAGAAATGATCTTTCAAGACTAATGCCAATGGGCTAACTGTTAGCAATCACAGATTAACAAATAAAAATGAGTAATATAGTGGCAGCTATGTGGCGCAGTGGATAGAGCACCGGCCCTGAAGTCAGGAGGACCTGAGTTCAAATGTGACCTCAGACCAAACACTAGACACTAGCTGTGTGACCCTGGGCAAGTCACTTAACCCCAATCGCCTAAAAAAAAAATGAGTAACATAAGTATATGATGATTAAAAGTATGTCTGCATTGTAAATTCTAGCTTGAGGGAAAATGAATTTGGTTTTTAATTCATTAAGTGGAATGTTAATATGATTACTATTCATTGCAAAAGTTCATTTGCTTAAAACATTGTACCAGTGTATTTCTCGTTCCCAACATAACTGCTGCTCTACTTCTAACTAGTTCTTTTTCTTTTTAAAAATTAAAGATATGCACTTAACCCCAATTGCCTAAAAAAAAAAAATTAAAGATATGCTTATCTATTGTGCTACTAAAGTTGTTCTTCCTATTAATCAGAATATTTTTCTAATGCAATATCTAGCAATATTTTCCCTTTGATGATCAATAAGTCATTTTTAAAAGTATGTGGGTATATAAATACATATGTATATATTTGTATACATATACATATGTGGTAAATACTTTTCACATTAAGGGAAAAGAAATCAGGGAATTAGATTTTTCTTTTCATTCTGTCTTTAAATGGCCAAAAAAAAAAATCTCTTCTTTGAAATTGTTGAATGCTCTTCTAAAGTGGAGAATAAGTCAAATAATTCTATTCAGGGACATTAAGTTCTTACTATGTTCAAGGCATTCAGCATGTTTTTTTCATGTTGTAAATTCCCTGTCATAAGAATGGTAGACTATATGGCCAGGAATTTTCAGAAGTATGTACGCTGTGTTCTCTTCTTCCCAAACAGCTAAGGCTGTCCTTGAGACAAGTAAAGGACTGTAGACTTTATATTTGACCTTTTACATTTGAAAAGAACATTGCTGATAGGATTATTCTATGTCAAACTTCCCACCATCAGTAGGAGTTAAATATGAGTTGTTTATGGTGATTGCTTGCACTGACTCATTCACACTCATTGGTTTGCCCTATGGTTTGCTAAGCAAGAAAAGTAGCTGAAGTTAACATGTAATCTGTATTTTGCTGACAGATTTTTTCTGTGTGCCTTTTATAATAGCTAAGGACTTGTTAGACCCAAAATGAATAGAAAAGGTTCTATTTCTAACAATCATTTAACTCGGTTGTAAATAACAATATTACTGTTTGCTACCAAATCGTATTTGTAAAATGTCTTAAGGTCATTAACCAAAGGCTAAATAAATTGTAAATCTTTAAAAAAAATTTGCAGGTCCATCACATCTTAAAATTATAACCTTAGTATTAATCATCAGTGAAACAAATTAAACTTGATTTGCAACTATTTGTATTTAAATAAATGAATTTACATGCATAGAGTTTTGGTAACAACTTGTTAGTCACTCCTTTGGAAGCTTCATCTTTCTTTGTCCATTCTTACTGAATTTTCTTTTTATGTGGTTGTAGTTGATGAGTGCTCTGTTCTTCTAGTTCAGCTTTTTAAAAATTTACTTCATCTCAGAAAGGCCTTTCCTGATTTCTCTATACTCCTTTTATTTATCTTAATTACATTACACTATTTCTATGACTATTGATATTCTACAGTTTATTTAACCATTCCCCTATTGTTGGACTATGGATCACTTGCAATTTTTTTACATTAGTAATAATGTTGCTATAAATATCTTTGGGTAGTTAACACTTATTTTTCTTTTTGATAAAATTCTCAGGCTATATTCCCAGTAATTCCTATAAATCAAAATATTTTTCTAATGCAATATCTAGTAATATATTCCCTTTGATAATCACTGAGTCATTTTTTAAAAGTATGTATGTATATAAATAAATATATATGCATATATATTTATATATATATATATATATATATACACACACATGTGATAAATACTTTCCATCTTCAGGGAAAAGAAATCAGGGAATTCCCAATAATGTTGATGGAATCATTGAGTCAAAGAGTTAATTGTTTTGTAACTTTTGCTGCATCCTGCAAAATTACTTTCCAGAAAGCTTCAGCTAGCTTAGAAATTCTGCCAGCAATGAATGAGTATGCCTCATATAGTTTCACCATAATCTGTCAACATTTCATTTAATAATTTTTACCAATTTGTGGAATGTGAAGATGGGACTTCCATGTTGCTTGAATTTGCAATTCTTTAATTGTTAGTGAGACTAAGCATTTTTCCAAGTGATTGCTCACAATTTGTGGGGTTTTTTTTTTGATAAGTTCTATATACCTTTTGAACATTTATTTATTAGAAATTGTGTTTCTTTGAATGATAAATGTCAAGTTTTTAATTTAGCATATTTGATGTAAATTTTTTCCCAAACTTGTTTTTCTTTTAATTGTTGCCACATGCTTTTCAGAATGCAATTCTGTATTTGAGATGAAAGAGAAGTATCTATTATAATTAGCTTCAAGAGGGGTGTTAAAATTATTTATGTTAGAATTTTGTTATATTAAATATTGTACAAAACAAGAAAATTGGGCCTTTTAACTTTATTTTGTGAGGTTTGGATATGATATAAAGTAAATTGGCTTGTATTTATTAAACTTGTCCTTAGTGTTGAGAGATTTATAATGCTGAGTAAAAAGATTGTCACTTTCTGACATAAAGATTTTGTTAATTTTAAAATGTGTAGCTCATGGTATTTATTATTAAATGGTAAAAGAAATGTAATTACTTGGGTTCCAAAGAATTTTGAATTTACACATTATCATTTCCCCCAGAACCTAGGTATTTATGACATCACTCTCTTGTTCTTATTTAGTGCTACTATACTAAGAGGCAATTCCTAGTGTCTATAGGAGAACCACTTCTCTTAAAATTAAAAACTTTACATTAGTACTTGCATTCATAATCTTCCTTCTAATTATTATCATATTATGTAACTTTCATCCGGGCTTTTAATCAGCAATAATAGTAGTGTTAACCAAAAAAAGTATGACAGCCACACAAATTTCCATAGCTCTGTAGCAGTAATCAGGGTTTCTCAGATTGGCAGGCCACAGTCCCCCAGTTAAATGCTGTGTAACCTTTCCTATTGCTACCACTTGGTTAGAACTATTTTTGAGGGTAATCTCCCTACCTGTTTTAAACCCAACTTGACTCATGGCTCTGCCTATCAAATAATATGAAATTATAGATGTGTGCCCAAAAGAGCCAGTATGGGATATGTGAATGTGTTTTGGAAAGGAATGTTGCGCAAGAAAAAAAAAAAGAAAGGAATATTGGGGAGCTAGAAAATGGGTACTGATATGAAGAAATGAGAAATCTATTAAGTAGGTCACTTTATTATTTCCAGAGGAGTTCCAGTCAAGGACTGACAACAGCAGGCCATCTGTGTCCAGATAACATCTTAACCATATTCAATTTGAAATTCATCTCCAAACAATTTTTACCTCTTTCATAAATTTGGTGTCAATGACCTAGCTTGTACTTTCATCTTCATAATATCTTTTCCTTGCTTGAACGTGGAATACCTATGAGAGCAGAAGAGGTGTTAAGTGTATTGCTTGAACATACCTTTCACTTTTTTTTTTGAAATGTGACTGACATATTCAAAATAAATGGGCCATGACCGCATCTTGAAAAACAACCTCCCCCCAAAAAATGGGGCAGCTAGGTGGCTCAGTGGGTAGAGCACTGGCCCTGGAATCAGGAGGACCTGAGTTCAAATCTGGCCTCAGATACATAACACTTACTAGCTGTGTGACCCTGGGCAAGTCACTTAACCCCATTGCCTAGCGAAAAAAAAGCCCCCAAAACACTGTACATTTTGTGACATGTTTGTAGATAACCTAGTCTCTAAGAAACTCTTATATAGCCAGTCATATTTAGAAGATAACCCTAACAAGTTAGGTTTTGGTAACCTTTGTGGACAAGATGATGAACTATGCTAGGGAAAAGTGCATGTGTAGCTAGTTGATTGTTAGTACCTAAATGTCAATCTATAGTGAGGTCTCTAGTGGCATGACATAGGTTTCTGACTTTAACCTTGAACAATGGCTTGGGTAAAGACATGGCTT